GGTTTGTGAGGGAGGACACGAAGAAGTGAGGACAGACTGGGAGCTGAAGTAGGGACGTCGAGCCCAGGACAGCAAAAGAATTAGATACAGGAATGACTATGGGAGTGGCAACTGCAGAGGAGGCTGCAGAAGATGTGACCCCAGAAGTGGGGGGACCCTTTGAAACACGAGAATAAGAAACACGGGGAAAGTCTCCCTTGGAGGCGGAGATGAGAAACCGCCATAGCATAAGGGAGACCTTCTCCCTCTGAGGCAATGAATTTCCGCTCATTTAAGTAGACTTGGCAACGGCGAGAGTACGAAGGGCGAGCCTCATGACAATTAAGGCAAGAGGGAGGTCGACTGCAAGATTTATTAGAATGGTCATCGGCACCACAGACTGGGCATTTGGCTATAGATCTGCAATATTTTGCTGGGTGGACAAATCGCCAGCAATTCCTACACTGTTGCGGTGTAGGGGATCACCTTCCGAACTTGTAACCGATGTCTTGCTACATAAACAGAGGATGGGAGTTAACGGCTGTCAAAAGTTAACGAGCCACATTGCAAAGGTATCGTCTTCGCCCGTGGGCAGGAAGAACATAAGTGTCTACCTTGGGAATTGGGAGATCTTGGAGTTCCAGCTGTTCGAGAAATGTCGGTGCCACATGTCTGGAAATTCTTTTGGGGGACTATGGTATGGGGCAGAAAACAGTACCACTACAAGAATTGAGGGAATGATGTTTTTCGATAGTGATAGGAATAGTATCGATATGTGAAAGAGAAAGATCACGAGCTTGGGTAGGAATTCTGGACGTGATGAGCGCATACCACTCTTAAGAGCATGAAAGGAAATATCTCTACCAAACGTGGCGTAGGAGCGCTTTGCCAATACTATGGTCGGAAAGATAGGCAGTAGAAGAAGCCGGTCTTAATGTAAAGAATTTAGTCCATTGTGTGGTCTGAAACAGTGAGGGAGAGGGAGTGCATGACGTGTCTGTTTTCAGAGTAGAAAGGAAGGAAACGAAGTAACATCATTAGGAGATTGTCGTTGATGGTTTAGAAGTGGGACAGAGTCGGTCCGACGGGGACGGGCCGGCGATTTGAAAATTGCCACACTGTAGAGGGAGAAGCCGGAAGCATAGTCAAAGAGAGCGGAGGTCAACAAATCAAAGGAGTCAGTGGAAGCCCGGTACCTGAAGCAGGCGAGGAAAACAGAAATAGGCAAGAGGTACAGGGGGCCTTAGGAATGTCCTAAGAGTGGCCAAAAGACGAGGTGAGGTCAGAACGGGTTGCGGTAACAATGGGCCCGGGGGAAGCGGGTCATGGATCGGGTATTCTATGGTTAGGTTACTTTTCTTTTTGTTTTAAGAAAAAAAAAGAAAAAAAGGGGGAAACAGGGAGGGATAGTTCCTAGGAGGAATAAAGGGGCAGAAATCTCCCTCCGCACCCAAGAGGACCTCAGCACCCCAAGTAGTGCAGATGCAGCATGGAACCCGTGCCATACCCTACCCATCATGCCAGTAAACCAGCAATCCGGGATAGCAACTTCACATCTGCCGAGCTAACCTCCGATGGACAAGAGAAGAGGGTCGGCCGGATATCCGCCACAAAGCATACCTCCTTCCGCCACCACCCCCGGAATCCGAAAAGGTGGCTTCCAGAGATACACCCGTCGCCCGAAAGACACCCAAAGCCACCCTCCGGGATACCGGAGAGGGATCGGGACATCCCCAGGCAATCCACATTCCATGGCAAACTATGCCACCGCCAAGAACCTCAATGGAATGGGATGTGTTGAGAAATGGCATTACCAGCTAAGTTTAGAGTTTGTACAAACTTAGAAAGACAGCTCATCGCCTGCACAGCCGCCCTGGAGACGAGGTCTTGAGAAGCTGTCGAAGTCATCTCTCAACGGGCTGTAAAGAGTTATAATTTGTAAGATTATAAATTACCCCTAGGGGGTGTTATGTCAGCATATTTCATTCACTGATTGCTGATAAATTACGTACTTGTTTGGACTCAAAAGTCCGCACTTACTGCCGACTATAGGTTGATTACAAACTCCTTGCGACTCAAGAACTGCGCAGTCTTCCGTACTACAAGAAATTTGTAACCTACTTTGCTCTTGTAGCGTGAGCTATGGTGTTCTTCACACCTTCGACAGATATCGGTGACTTGATAGAAGCTGAAGTGTCCTTGGATGTCCACGTCTTCCATAATCTAGGAATACGCACACTGGTATACTATGTTCCACAAGATTTGTCTTTATTGTTCACAATCTTATCACTAAAGAAGCTGATCACACTTCTCTTAAGTGTTTATTGTGTTTTATGAGACACTTTGTTCACACTAACGCACAGATCGTTCTTTGTTGGTTATCCTGGCGTCAGTGTCACTCTCAGTAGAGTCAAAAGTAATCTGAAGACTCCACAGCGCCCCATGCCGTCACTGCCCTTTGCACAAAAAAAAAGCTGACATAGTACTTTTGCTTCCTTGCCACTTCCTCGAAGCAAAGCAGAATGTTTGATTCTTGCTGTCTTAAGCATAGACAACAATGTCCACTGTCTTTACTATGGTAACAAAGTAGGAGCAGGATTTTCCTTAATTGTCCTGCTAAAGTAAGAGATGTACTGTCTCTTATTAAAATACACTCTGCAACACACTGCAAGGAGCAGCGGTCACTTGACCACGTCGCATACTCGTACGACATGTGATCAATTACTCGCTGTAGCAGTAAACAAGACGCTTGCCCCTTCTGAGAGGGCTGGGCCCCTCAGGGCTGAAAGGGGCTGAAGGGGGCTGATACCCTCCTCCTGGAGAAAATTTCTCCACAGGATGGACCCTGGTACCCTTCCCCCTACCTAGGAACTAGCACGCCTGTGGGAAAAAATCCCAAAGGCCAAAAAGGAAGGGCAAAAGCAAGGGGTGGGGAGGAGGAGGAAAGGAAAAAGGGAAGGATGGGAGATGAGAGAGGGAAGGGGGGATTGGGGGTAATTAGGTTCGGTCTGAGGAAGGAGACAGACAGGTTTAATTCCTCAGACCAAGAGGAAAGGGGGGTTAAAAACCTACAGTAAACCCTCAGTATAACACACCTCATTGTAAAGGTCTTAAAATTCTGGCAAAATCTAACTGTTGCATTATACCTTGAGTGCCTGCATTTTTAATGTTTAATGCAGTACATCTTAAGTGTACAGTACTATATTAGGTGTACACTGGAGTACTTCAATGCATTAGATTTTTGTGCTATTTTGTAACATTATTCCAATTTAAGGAGGCTATGAGCAAAATTTTTTGTGTGTGTCCAATTTCAATGGAATTTTTACTGTGAATTAAGCAGCATTTGAAACCTAGACACTGTTTTTAGTGACTTTTTCTTACAGTTAGATGGAAAAAAAATAAATAGTGCCCTATTCTACAGGGATTAAAACTATCCCTCAACTATAAAATTTTTAAAACAATGTTCTAGTCGACATCAGATGAAAGATAAAGAGTTAGGTAATCTAATTACATGGACATTTGACCGGCAGGCCGGACTTGAGTCCTGGAGATGGGAAGTACAGTGCCTGCACTCTGAAGGAGGGGTGTTAATGTTGCAGTTTAAAAACTGTAGTGTAAAGCACCCTTCTGGTAAGACAGTGATGGAGTGAATGATGGTGAAAGTTTTTCTTCTTCGGGCCACCCTGCCTTGGCGGGAATCGGCCAGTGTGATAATAAAAAATAATAATAATAATAAAAAAATTGAGTGAAATGTCAATAGATTGCATTATACAAAATGTTGAAAGGTTTTTTTTTTTAAAGGACTTTTTTGGGAGAAAAAATTCAAAAACAAAATGGTAAAACGTATCACAAACCTATGTAATTCAATAGAACCATCATTCCTCAATAGCGTGTGAAAAAATCACGATGCTCCTATAAATACTCTTCGCATGAGAGGGAAAATAATGTCGATAACTTATTCCTGAGTTGTACAATTATGTTTTATGTAAAAAAACTATGGTTATGGCCAGCCAAATCTTAGCGTGTTTCGCCCCTCCATCCTTGTTGACAGCCTGCTACTGAGGGACAATCTCTTTGCTCTCTTCACTTCAGTCCTCACAGAAGTTGCCATGTAGTGTATTTAGAATGAAAATCAATCAAATTTTGGAGTTAAAAAAAAAAAAAAAAAAAAAAAAAAAAAAAAAAAAAACACTAATTGCCAATATGTCTTCTTGCTGACAGCAAGAACAAAAAAGATTACATCTGTGGAAAAACATACTTAGAAATATGATAGAAACAAGCTGATTCCATCAACATGTTGCCAGAATTATGCACTATTTTTTGACAAGAAAGCACTGTCCCCATATTTTTACAATTTCAATCACAAAAGAAAAAAGTCATCACCCCCTCAAAGGGCACTCAGACAATCCCCCCATTAGTCCTCTACATCAAGGGTTTACTGCATTCACATACCCCTAGCAGTGCGCACCTTAGGTTATCTACTAACAATCGCACACCAACAAAGTGTGCAGATTAGGGATCAAACCCCCAAAGATAACTTTTATCAACTTTAAATAAGAAAAGATATCAGTGCATTTTCACACTGTTGCATCTAGCATGTCATGAAAAGAGATGCAAGTAAGAAAGAACAAATGACAGCACATGGTCAGGTTAGGCAAGATTCATCAGAAAACAGAACAATTGTTTCCTGATGCAAGTCTTAGTAATACGTATACTGACCTGCCACTGATCATCTGACCAAGGCCTTCTGCTGGCTTGCAGGTCCACCCCCTTTAAAAATTAAGCTTTTTTTTTTTTAATGACAATTGCCTGGATATTATTGTTTAGCATCCCTTATTTAGAAAGCTCTCATAATCCACCCTTTAACTTTCCTGGTCAACACAATTTGCACTATTAAAAGTCAGCAATCTGATATTCCCAACTTGGTTCACCAAGTTTCTCCTACACTTAAATCAGGCCAAGGTCAGGCATCCTAAGCAAGTGTCTGACCAGAAGGCTCAAATGGCTAACAAAAACTGATCTGTAATTCAATTTTTAATATCTAAGATAATTTCTTTCTACATTTTGTATCCAATATCTGTCTGGGGGCATTTCCCTAATGTATAACAAATTACATTATTTTGAAATATAATGTTTGCTACATCATTTACATCACCACATTACCAAGTTAGGCGAGGCAAGATTACCCTTCCTTACATCATTTGTCTAAAATCTTTATCCAAGTGAAGTAAGGTAAAGTGTGATTAATTACACCATATTGAATCTTTACTAGCCTAACCTAGTTGTGTGCAGATTCTACAAATGTGCAGAACAATATTTTACAAATCATGCAATTCATTGTCATTCAGTTTAAGAATATATAAAATTTTGAAGTAAACACAGAATACTTAAAAACTGAGCAGATTGCAAGATCACGTGACAGTATGTACATAAAAGTTCAGGACTAAATACTAAATTTATAAAATGAATAATGGAGTGACTATTTCGACGGTACCATGGAAGTAGCGGCCGGCGCTATTGCCATGGCTGTGGGTGGTGGGAGTCTCATTGCACATGCGCGACGTCATTGGGCTGAATTCAACAAGGCGGCTGCTACAGACATATCTAGGAGGTTTGGCGATGTTTTTTCAGGATGAATGCACTTATTCAGGTATGAAATCCTTTCTGGTGAATGTACAGTGGGACAGTTTTTTGAATCAGGTGATCCTGCAGTGATGTAGGAAACTGTAAAAGAAACATTTGAGTGTGCTACAGACATGTACATTCCAATGAAAAGCAGACGAGGAATTGTGGTGCTCCTTGGATGGACAGACAGGCAAGAACAAAATAGATAATGGCAAAGGTACCAAGAGTCATAGAACTATACAGATTATATTCAGTATAAACTGGGACTAAATCATGCTACAGTACCAATATTAGAAAAAAAAAAAAAGCATTTCGAGAGGAAAATGGCACAAAAGATCAAGGAGGACCCAAAATCATTTTCCTCATTTACTAGACAGCAGATGAAAATCAAAGATACATTTGGCCCAATGAAAACTGACAGTGGACAGGGCCTTACTGCTATAGAAGAGGTAGATATAGACAATAATTAAAATTTACTGCCTCTATTTTCACACATTAAGACACCAGTATAATCTACCAGAGTCTAAACCCATGATGACTAGTAAATCTGAGGATGGAAATGATGTTAGGATTAAGAAAAACTTAAAGCACACTGGTAAACTTAAAGCAATTAAAGCTTTGGGCATGAACACTTTACAGTTGGAAGCATTGAAAGAGCTATCAGATGCCTTAGATGGCCACTTGGCTAGATTGTCAGTTTTCACTGGATTATGGGACTGTCAGACTACAAAAAAGCTAAGCTCTATTATATATACACATGTATATACATTGGGCATATATTATTTATACATATATTTAAATATATTTTTATACATATATATTCATACATACTTGCTTTACAGGGTATAACATGGGAAGTCAAATAAATGCATCTGATATAACATACTTGCAAGTTGTTCAAGAGAATACTGCAGATGGAAATTTGTAAACCATTTCCACACTTTCAATTTAATAAAGGACAGCCAGCATGGATCTGTTCAACAAAATCTGTCAGAGAGGCTTTTTTTTTTTTTTTTTTTTTAATTTGTAGTACAGTGTATAGTGATGCAGGGTTTCCAGACGACATTACTGCACTAAGGCCTTCAATACATTCCTTCACATCAGGCTGTTTTTCAAAGTTGACTACATATGAGAGAACTGGTACAGGTTCTCCATCACAAATCCGGCATCATTGGGACCTGTAGTGTGCCGGATTACTGAGTTTCCCAGATTACAGAGTGGTTAGGTTAGAATAAACTTAATAAAATTAACCAACTTGACTTACACAAAGTTCATTGAACATCGACAAAAATCGAACATTTCCGCTACTTTGAGCTCAATTTCAAGGTACAGTGGTCCCTCAATTATCGTCCATAATCCGTTCCTGGAAGTAGAGCTATTATCGAAATAGAAGATTTTCGAATCAATTTTCCCCACAAGAAATAATGTAAATACAATTAATCCGTTCCTGACACCCAGATGTATTAAAACAAAAAAAATTTTTTACATGAAATATAGATGTAGTACATAAACAATACAATGGGACATGATGAATGAAACATTAACAGCATAATACTTACCTTTATTGGTGATTCTTCTTAGTGTATGGAAGACTGGAGGAGAGATTGAATTTCTGTTTGGAAGGGGAATCCCCTTCCATCAACACCTCGGGTACCAAGTGCTTTTCTGGGGTTACTTCTCTTCTCTTTGTTTCTTAATGCCACTAGGACCAGCTTGAGAGTCGCTGGAGTCCTGTCTCGCAAAAAAACTGTCCAGAGAGCTCTGTTTCTGGCATCTCTTTAAAACTTCCCTAAAATGGGCCAAGACTCTGTCACTGTACAAGTTGCTGATATGGCTTGCAACATCCTTCTCAGGGTGATGTTTCTCCATAAATCTTTCCATCCTACCCTACATTTCAAAAGTCTCCTTAATTTCTGAAGAAGGCAACTTCTTCTATCTCTCTTCCTCCTCCTCTGCAGCAAGATTCTGAGCTGCAATCTGTTGAAGCTCTTGCAGCTCCTCAGTGGTTAGCTCTTCATTGTGGTCCTCCACCAACTCTTCCACATCCTCCAAACTCATATCCAACCCCATGGAACTTCCCAATGCAACAATAGAGTTCACAACTTACATAGGCTCATCAGGGTCAGCCACAAGCCCTTCAAAATCCCTCTTGTGGACAATCTGGCCACAAATTTCTCCAAGCAGAGCTCCAAGTCCTGGTAGTCACTCCCTCCCAAGCCTTACCTATAAGGCTTATGCAATGGAGAATACTGAAGTGTTCTTTTCAAAAATCTCTTAGGTCAAGCGAGTGTCTGAGGTCACATTAAAGCACCTTTCAAACATTGCTTTGGTGTAGTTTGAAATGACCTGCTGGTCCATGGGCTGGAGGAGAGGAGTGGTATTCGGGGGGCAAGAACTTTACTGTGATGAACCCAAACTCCTTCAGAATTATGCCATCCAAGTTTGGAGGATGAGCAGGTGCACTGTCTATTACTAGGAGGCACTTGATCCAATTTCTTTTCCAGGAGGTAATTCTTCACACTAGGGCCAAACACATTGAACCACTCGACAAAAATTTCCCTCGTGACCCATGCCTTATTATTAGATCTCCCAAACACACAATTTACTCTTCAAAACATTGTTTTTCTTTAACACACTGGGATTTTCAGAATGGTACACTAGTAATGGCTTCACTTTGAAATCCCCACTAGCATTAGCACAGAACATGAGCGTCAGCCTGTCTTTCATAGGCTTGTGTTCTGGCAGTGCCCTTTCTTCCCGAGTAATGTAGGTCCTCTTTGGCATTTTCTTCCAAAAGAGGCCTGTTTCGTCACAACTGAACACTTGCTCAGTTTTCAGTCCTTCAGCCTCTATGAATTCCTGCATATATTTTTCAGCCGCTTTTGGTCATAAGACTATCTCCTGCTAATTGTTTCTCATTTATCCACACCAATAATAACTTCTCAACATCTTCGAGTAATGGTGATCTCATTTTTGTCAGCCTATTTACCCCCTTTGCAACAACAGCTTCCTTGATTTCCTTTTTCTTGGCTATGATGGAAGATATGGTTGTACGGGATTTGTTATACATCCTGGCCAGTTGGCCCCACACGTACGCCACTTTCATTATGTTCAATGATGTTTTTCTTAAATTCAATCATACTTCTCACCTTCTTTACCAAAGGCTTGGCACTAGGAGATTTCTTTGGAGCCATGGTAGCTTATTTAGCACTTGCAAGCATTAAAATGAATGGAATACAGTAAGGCCCCGCTTTACGGCGTTTCACCTTATGGCGTTCTGCTAATACGGCGATGTCAAATTATGACCAAAATTTGCTATACGGCAAGCGGTCTTTCAAATAAGGCGCCCCTCACCCGGTTTGTTTACATTTTCCGTGACATCTATTATGTCAGGAAACTTTCCAAAATTTCAAGTGTTTTAAAGTTACTGCATATTTTATATGTACTCTGATAATTATACTTATGTGTACCTGTACCTAAATATACTTGCACACTGTGCTGGTGTGCAGGTACACATTAAAATCGCTAAGTCTCTCTCTACTCACGACGCCAATACTACGTAATAATAATCGCTCTTGGGCACTGTCTTATTTTACAACAATATAGGCATTTTCATTAATCCATCTATAATATTTTCCTCAAATTATATATGAAACCCGTTACATAGCATATAAACATGATACATACACTCACAGAATAAAAATTGATGTAAATATGAGACTTGTTTACAAAGCAGCTGTGTAGGTAGTGTTGGAAGAATTACGCTTTCTCTAGTCAAACTGGGGGATAACTGTAGAAAAATATTCATTTCATATGCCTTTACTCTATATATAGCAATTCACGACCCTTGTGGGTTTAGTGCTTTTTATAATAAAAAATATTAATATTAATATTATTATTATTATTATCTTCATTCGCTCTAAAAATGGTGTGTTGCTGTTTGTTTATTCTGAACTAACTTGTACAACTTGTACACAATGTAAGAGTAGGATTTGTATTGTGAGGTAATTATTGTTATAATAAAAAAAATATTGAGGTAAATGGTTTTACAAACTCTTACAAATGGATGTGAATGAACTAAAAGTAGATACATATTAATACGCATTTATTTCGCCTGATCAAGTGATCGCCCACTACCTGTTCAGTTTATGTTCTTACATTGTCTCAACTATCTCGTTCTCTCTCTCGTTTACTCTTTTGTTAACTAGTTGGCTCTCATTGACGATGGCATCTAAGGTGAGCTGTAATAAAAAGAAAAGTCGTAAGCCTCCTGCTTTAAGTACCAATTAGAGGATGATGGTGCGCCATTCTGATTTTATTCAATAATCACCCTGCCACTCACCTCTCACACATTAATATTAATATTTTAAGGTAAGTAATAAGTGTACTCTGTGTGTATCTAACCTTTTATTGTTTTTAATGCATATTTCTATTGCTAACTTAATATAAGTTAGAGTAAACTTGTCTGGCATTTATTGCATATTTTATGTGTGCTCTGATAATAATACTTGTGGAGCTGTGTGGTAGCCGGGTGGAGGGACATTACGTTTTCTCTAGCTCAGCCATCAGAGAAAACGTGCATGAATCTGCATTCGGCCCAGCCACTCCCTCACTCCGCTTTTGTTTACAATTTTCAGCATGAATTATTCATTACTTCTACCTACGTTTATGATGGCATCTAAAGGTAGTTGTTAGAAATTATTAAATTCAGTGAACAAGGCATGTCGATGTTAATAATATGGCTCTGGGCCACAGTGTAGGTAGCCGGTAGGTGTAGCCCAGGCGGGCTACACCTACCGGCTACCTACACTGACTTCCTACAAATAAATACTACTCGCCTCTCTTCCTATATTAAGACTACACATTTTAAGGTAAGTAACGAGTGTACTGTATGTGTATTTTACCTCTCTGGGATGTTTTAAAGATCGTATATTAAGTATGAGACGGGGAGCCAGGGCTACCTATACCTGGGCTACCTGCACCTGACTCCCTACAAATAAGCACTACTCACCTCTCTCCCTACATTAAGATTACAAATACAGTGGACCCCCGGTTAACGATTTTAATCCGTGCAAGAGGGGTAATCGTTATGCGAAATAATCGTTATGTGAATGAATTTTCCCCATAAGAAATAATGGAAATAAAATTAATCCGTGCAAGACACCCAAAAGTATGAAAAAAAAATTTTTTTACCACATGAAATGTTAATTTTAATACACACAAACTGAAAAAGGCATGCACACTTACATGACACTTACTTTTATTGAAGATCTGGTGATGATTGATGGGATGGGAGGAGGGGAGAGCATTATTTCTTACTGTTAGAAGGGGAATCCCTTCCTTAGGACTTGAGGTAGCAAGTCCTTTTCAGGGGTTACTTCCTTCTTTTAAATGCCAAGACCAGCTTTGAGAGTCACTGACCTCTGTCGCAACAAATCTGTCCATAGAGCTCTGTACCTCCCGTTCCTTTACGATTTGTCTAAAATGGGCCACAACATTGTTTTGGGGCCCTGAGGACATTTTTCTCTCCCTCAGCCACAGAAAAAGGCATAAACCCTTCGCCCACCACTCCCAACCCCCCGCTTTTGTTAAAAATTTCAATAAAATTACAAACTTCCCCACTTTTATTTTTCATCAAAAGGGTTTTTTTTAAAAAAGAAAAAACAGTGAAAACTTTCCCTTAATTTTAATAGGCCTGGCCAAAAGGGGTACCTAGGGTAGCCCCAAAACCCTCCTTTCCTATTCCTACAAATTCTATTTTCCCTTTTTCCATTTAAGACTACACTTTTTAAAGGGAAAACGAAAAACTGTATTAAAATTTTACCCCCCGGATTTTTTAAAATCTAAAAAGGAGCGGGGACCCGGGCTCCTCCCTGGGCCCGCACGACTCCCTACAAAAAGCAAAAAATCCCTTCCCTTCCCAAATTAAGATTAAAAATTACTGTAAATGTATTACTGTGAATTATTTTCTTTGGGTTTTTTAAATGCTAGTTCTTTTGCTAATTTAATAAAATTTATTAAAATTTTTTGTCTGCATTTAATGCATTTTAAAGGGAAAAAATGGCTTTTCGCTTTCCGGGCGATGTCTGCTTTCCGGGACACCCTGGAACCTAACCTGCCGTATAAGGGGGCCCCACTGATTATAAAATTTCGTACGACCGGAGGGGACCGTCGCTCACTGGAAAAAAATGGCAAAACGCTGGAAGGCCGAGGAGCTCAAGCCCTGATACAAATCCAGGACGAAAGAAAAGATTAGCAGTTAAAAGTACCATTTTTCGAGCCAATGTTTAACAAATAACGGACTAGTTTTTCCGAAATGGGGGAAATTTTAGGCCGGAATTATTTAGGGGCCACTGACTTTTTATCAGAAAGCAATCAAAATCATGTCTATTTCTGTAATAATCTTCCGTTATAAATGAACCAAAAAAAAACGAATACAACCCCTAATAACCATATAAAATATTCACAAAAAGGGGGGAATGGCCGAGAAATAACTCTTTTTTTATCGTCTGCTTTTTATTTTTTGGGGTACATTTAAAAAACATCTTCCCTCTACATTGCCTAAGTTTCAAAAGACAGCCCCAAAAAACAACCGAAAAAAACATTTAAAAAACGGCCAAACCCCCAAACCCGGTCGAAATAAACTTTTGTCTTACTTTTTTGGGTTTTCCTAGGGTTTTAATAACTTCATTTAATAATCTATGGTAACTTTTTAATCCTTTTAAATTACTACTTCTATCCGACTAGTAAAAAACCGCCCATTCACCTCTTCAACTACCCAAAAAGTGCAAAATTCTTTTTCCAATTTCCAGATCCAATTTCAAAAGGGGGCCAAAGCAATGCGACTTTTCCCGGCCAAAATAACACCGTTTTTAGTCGGCCAGGTTTTTTAATACCCCGCTTTTCCATTTGAATTTTTATTCACACAAAATTTAAGATTTCTGTTTGGCATACCATTATTAAATGTAAAATAATTCAACCCTCTTGCGGCAATTTTTGCCACAACTTTAAGGGGACTCTCTTTTCCACACCCAAAGAATAGCTTTTTCTGCACGTACCATTTTTTACTTTTCAATAAAAAAAAAATAAAAGAAATAACAAAAAAGGGGGGCAAGGGGGTCCTTTTTTAAAATTTTTTTTTTTGGTGCAAAGAAGAAAAACAATTCCAATTTAAAGGCGCCCAAAAAAAGGGAAAAAATATTTTTTTTTTTTTTATTTAACGGCCGATTCCCAAAGGCAGGGTGGCCCGAAAAAAAAACTTCACCATCATTCACCCCATCATGTCTTGCCGAAGTGCTTTACACTACAGTTTTTAAACTGCAACATTAACACCCATCCTTCAGAGTGCAGGCACTGTACTTCCCATCTCCAGGACTCAAGTCCGGCCTGCCGGTTTCCCTGAATCCCTTCTTAAATTTACCTTTGCTCACACTCCAACAGCAGTCAAGTATAAAAACCTTTTGTCTCCATTCACTCTATCAAACACGCTCACGCATCCCTGCTGGAAGTCAAGCCCCTCGCACACAAAACCTCTTTACCCCCCCCCTCCAACCCTTCCTGGGCCCGACCCCTACCCCCTTCCTCCATTTCAGACTATCCCACTCTTGAAGTCTTCTTGTTTCGCTCCATTCTCTCTACATGCCCGAACCACCTCAACAACCCTTCCTCAGCCCTGGACAACAGTTTTGGTAATCCCGCACCTCCTCCTAATTTTCCAAACTACGAATTCTCTGCATTATATTCACACCACACATGCCCTCAGACATGACATCTCCACTGCCTCCAGCCTTCTCCTCGCTGCAACATTCATCCCCCACGTTTCCCACACCCATATAAGAGCGTGGTAAAACTATACTCTCATTACATTCCCCTCTTTGCCTCCAAGGCCCAAAGTTCTTTGTCTCCACAGACTCCTAAGTGCACCACTCACTCTTTTTCCCTATCAATTCTATGATTCACCTCATCTTTCATAGACCCATCCGCTGACAGTCCACTCCCCAAATATCTGAATACGTTCACCTCCTCAAAACTCTCTCCTCCAATCTGATATCAACTTTCATCACCTAATCTTTTTGTTATCCTCATAAACCCTTTCTCTTTCCTGTATTCACCTTTAATTTTCTTCTTTTGACACCCTACCAAATTCATCCACCATCTCTGCAACTTCTCTTCAGAATCTCCCCAAAACACAGTGTCATAAAAAGGCAGCTGGGACAACTCCCCCTTTGTTGTGATTCT